AATTTTAATATTATACATTATTTGATTTCTTAATTTAAAAGTAAATATAAAAAAAAACACCTAAACATCAATTTTTATGTGTCATGTGGTATGTTCAATGCATCACTGGTTCAAATTAGATGTTTGTGCTCTCAAAATACAAAGTCTATAGTTTTGTACAAATTAGGAACTCAAGTTACCAATATTTACAAGGTAGAATATAAAATAAGAACCTCCTATCTTTTCTGTTTGCTGAGATATCGCTTATGTACTGAATCAAACACATTGGCCCAACTCACCTCTTTCTGTTTTTGGAAACGCTCCCATGTTGCAACTGCCCTCTGTCTGTTTTTTTATGATAAACATTAATAGATGTGGTTATTGTTGATTGCCATCATGTTCAATATTTGACAACACTCAGCACTTGTCATTTTTAAATTACTCTGATGGTGTTTCTAATTAAATTTTATTATTTTATTGCCTTTTGGATTGTGATTTTTAAAATTCCCACCATAAAAAGTTTCAAAATATGTGGTAACATAAAGCAAATATTACACTATTCAAGTTACATAAAGCTTGTGCTACTCATGAGCTGTTATTGCTAGCGAGTGTACCTCATAGAAAAATTTTATTATTATTATTATCACTATTTTTATTTATATTACCTAATTTAACCTTATCTAGTCTAAAGTTTTCTAATTTTTACATTTTAAGTCACTTTTATAATAATAAGTAAAGAATAGTTAAGAAAAACAAGAAATATAGCACTTACCTGTGTAACTTTTTTTGTTGTTGTTGTCGACTGTCCTTCTATGTTAGCCCTTATACTTTCACCAGTGCTACTAGTCCACAAAATAATATATTCTTTAAGTAAATAATGTATGGAAGGACACAAAATAATATCTTGTCAACAGCTGAGAAAGTTGGGTATCTGTTAGAATTTAATAGGAGGTAGCCACAAAAGAAGCCACTTGAAAGGATGATGTTTTCACATACTCTTTGAAGAACATTACTGTGACAGATACACTGTGTATAAATATTGCATCAGTCAGTGAGTAAAACATCATTATATTCGGTTTTGATCACATGTGAAATTTATTGTCAAATGTTCTTATAAAGACAATAAAATAGAAAATATTCAAGAAATGAATAATTATTAATAGTTTGGATGTACAATATGCAAAGAAACATCACACATAACATTACAATTCAATATTGAAATATTTTACAGTTAATTAATGAACTGGTTGGTCCCTAGTAAGACCGCCTTTGTTCAGACCCAAAGGTGGCTTAATAGGGAGAATCTAATGTACTTGACAGCAAATTCCTGATCATTTGATAATATATTGTTATGACATTGGTTGAAATGATTCTCCTATTTTCTGTGAAAGTTTCATGGATGATGAGAAAAGTTAGGTAAAAACTTTATCTATGTACAAGGTTTTACTTTCATATTTTAAGCTACTGTCATCTTAGACAACTGATGTAGTGTTTTTACTGGTGCAGTGAATTATAATTTTTAGTTTTAAAGAGCTGCAAGTTTTATTTGTTAGTCTGAGAAATTAACAACAAACACAGCAGAACATGGCATTTTTTTCACGGTCATTTTCAAGCCAGGAGAAATATTTATTTTACTTCTCTCTATTTTTTTTTGTTTTTATCAGTGTCCTTGTTTATTTTCTTGGTTACTTCTTGTTAATGGGTGTTTTTTGATAGAAGAACTCAATGAAAAGTGGGATTTTTTGTTGTTGCTTTTTTTTCCTTTAGCCTTTTAGGTCACTGACTCATTTTACCAGGTTAATGAAAAGGCGGTATGAATATATTTACATGATAGCGCATGGTGTGCACAGATACTCTCATCATCATCGTTTTAACTTTTGTTTATTGGCACCAGTTATTATAAATACTGCTTTTAAACTAATAAAGTACAAAATACCATTACATAACGTTTTGGGGCAAATATAGTCAAAAAGAAATAAGTTCCAACAATCAAAACTAGCACAATTATAACCTAAATGTAAGATACTCTTTTTGGAACACACAACTTATTAAGTTATTATTATTTGCTAAAAAAAACGTATATAGATGTAAATCATTTAGCAAGAAATTATGTTTCATTGAATCATTAAAATGGTGAGGATAATAGTATCTGTGTAGACTGCTTGCTATAGTGTAAATATATTTGTAGACCGCATGCTATAGTAGCACCCAGTTGTATGTATAACTATATACTGTGTACTTCTAGTTCAGAGAAGTAACTGGCCTAGTTGGGCTTGTAGTCCTATGTTGCTACAGGGAAAACTACAATTTCTACCAGCTCCAAGTCTGTGGGACATGGTGAATATTGAATCTTGATGTTATCCATACATCTGTTGGATACTTGGGTAATTGGAGGGTTAAATACTTATTGCCTTGTGTGTATATAAAACTATTCCTTCACAAAATTAACAGACATAAGTATCTGGTTGAATCAGGCTGCCAAAGGTTTTAGAGATTCTCAGGGTCACCCTATCTCCAATTCTCATGTTTTGGGTTTATTCCATCGACTGTGCAAGCTGTTGTTCTACAGAATCAAACCTGTGTTTGTGTTTGATGGAAGAGCACCTCAGCTAAAGAAGCAAACATTGGTAAGAACCTTAGTATAACAAATAGAAGTTTCTTTTTGAACTATCAGATTGTTCATCATAAATCAGATAATTCTTTGCCATTTAATTATCCAGTTTTTAGTGTTGAAAAAAAGTCATAAACTGCCTTTTATATGATTGTAAAAAATAAAAACTTCCCTGGTTCTTTTAAGCTTTATAGTTAATATTAAAACAAAACTTGAAACATAACCTTATATGTCTGAGCACATAGACTGTAGAAAACTACATGTTTCTACTGAAACTGATGATCAAAGGTCTTTGCACCAACAGTGCTTACATTAACACACTTTTTATGTACAAATTTTAGTATAATGGATAGAAGAAGTTGCTTTATAAAATTCTAGTGCATTCTGTGGATACAAACCAAAATTACCTTCATGCTGCTTTTATAATCCTATTTACTGCCATGTGGTTTTCAATGAAATTGAGATAATTTGTCTGTATTATGCTTACATTTAACACGACATATTGTTTTTAGTGGTGTTGTGTGTTAAAATGTTTCCTAGTGTAAAAATTGGCTTGGATGCAGTGCTGTCTGTCTTCAAAATTGTGTACTAACCAATGAGGAGGAGCTCTTGATGGGAAAAGCAAGGAAAATATCATGGGGCAGACAAAATGTAATATGTTAAAATGCTACTACAGTTAGTGAATAATAAACAAGAAAATTAAAAATTCTAATGTTTTGTATAAAAATTTGAAGGGAAATTTTTTCTAAGTGGTTGGGTCTCTAGGAATCAAAGAAATTCAAATGCTTGTGCAAACTCTGATCAGAGCCCCTAGATAAAAACATTATATTTTGTATTAGTTGTGCATCAGTAGTGATGATCATATTTGTTGCCACTTTGTTCTCTGCAATTATAATGTCCATATTCTGTTTTTATTTTTGTAGAAGTAAATGACAATGGTAATAAAATTGTCACCAACGTTATGTGACATGTTAAAGTTAAGTGTCATAATATTTGTGAGTTTGGTGGAAAAAGTATGTTTTTTACAAAATAAATTAACTATAGATGGTTATTTCAGTTTTTTAAATTCATGTTAACATTTGTAGATATAACTGATGTTGATAAATAATTTATATGCTTGTCCTGACTTAGTTGCTTCTACTGACAACTAACAATAATAACATTGTTGTAGGCAGCTCGGCAACAGAGGCGAGAAGCAGCTTTGCATACAGGAGAAAAAATTGGGCATAAGATGCTGACAGCTATTCTTCACAGTCATTTGATTCAGAGCAAAGGAGAGAAACATCAGAATGTGCAAAAATCAGAAAAATTTTCATCTAAAACCAATTCAAGAGATGAAGATTTGTTCAGACTGCCTCCTCTTTCTGAAAAACCTAATGAACAGTATGAGCAACTCCCATTTTCTTTATTTTTCAATATACCCTTTCACCAGTGGTGGGATTCAAATATTTTAACAACAGGTTCTCTCACTAGCAGCATGTAAAAATATTAGATATTAAAAAAAGGAGGGGCCAGAAAGCCCCCCCCCCCCCATATCACTGAGAAAATAAAAATAGGCCGTCAT